TCTGAGTCTGAGCGTTCTTTGTGTCCGTTTTATGTTTTTGCAATGTCACCGCGTCGCTAGATATATTCCCAATGCTTTAGTTGTATTAAAAAACACCAAATTGAAAAGTTCCCTGCTAACAAATTTCAGTATTTAAAAAAGAAAAAAAATGCCTTTACCTACAATTACAGTTATATTTGATCCGCACATGTTTGTTAAACAGAAACATACTTATAGTATACTAAGCACACATATTTGATCATGCTAAAAATATTTCTAGGTTGTATTTTAGTAATATTTCTAGGTTATAGCTAATATTTCAGTTCTTGTAGAATAATAAATTACTTAAGTGGTCTTTTATTGTTTAGTATTATTTTTATCAAGGTCCTTAATAGGTTCAAAAGGAACTGGTTAGTTTCGGGTAATACCTATCATGGTAGTCCCAGGGCCTGTGTAGGGGGGTGCGTGGTCCGGAACCGGGGTGCGTGGTCCGGAACCTCCTTGTGGTGCACCCTGGGCAACGGAGACGGCAGCGCCTCTCTCCCTAGGTGGGAAAGGCGCTGCCGCCTGCGGCCAATTCCGGCCGAGGTGGGAACGGCCCGTCAAGGGCTGTTCGGAGGGCTGCTTTCCGCATGTCCCTCTGTTTGGCAGAGGGCATAGGGGAGAGCGGGCTGGGGGCGGACGGGTCCACTGCCGCTGGCTCTGTCCAGAGGTGGTGGACACTGGTCTGACGCAGACCACCGTCCGGCCATGTCGTAACCCTGACTAGCAACAGTCAGGAATGACGGCTCTTCGAGGGCTACGAGGAAGGCAACCTCTATAAAAAACCCTGGGGCGGACGGACCCGGTCTGGTGCAGACCCCGTCCGGCCCAGCCGTAATCCTGAATGGACAGGACCGGTGGATCTTCGGATCCGCGAGGACGTAAACCTCTATAAAAAATGCTCTAAGCCCACGTTCTGACGCCTGGCAAGGGGCTGAGTCGCTGGAGGGAGTCCAGTGCCGAAGGCGTCCCCGTCGAAGGACGTTAAACTCTTTAAATGACATGAGGCCAAGGATTATTAAATCTACCCAGGAGGGTCCCGGACACACAGTGTCTGGGGAATCCCTCCCGGAGCCAAACGGCTCCGGCAGCTCCCACTCGTATTCTGGGGGGAGCACCAAATGTCGAACCTGCCCGTCGCCGAGCAGTAAATCCGGCGACGTTATCGCGGAGGACGCGAAAAACCTGGAGGTAGTGTCGAACACCGACACTGCCTCGGAGAGGAGCGGAGCGAGTACCCCGATGGTCTCAGCTGCAGAGCAGCACCAGAAGGGTACTCCAAAGCGCAAAAGGCGCTCGCTTCGCCTGGGCCTGAAGAGGCAATTGGAGTCGGCCTCGAGCGATGAGGCCTCGGCTCCCAAAGTCGGCACAAGCCGCAGAGGCGCTCGCGGTGGAGGCCGACTCCCCAAGGCCATGGTGGCCCGAACGAAGGTGGCGGTCCAGTCCGCGGCTCTGGGAGGAGCCGAAGATGGGGGTCTTGGACGGAGAAAACAGGAGGGGGTCGCGTCCGAGATGTCGACCACTGATGTGGGGAGCGGGGGTGGGGGTGCTGGTCTCGTTGAGCTGCGAGGCAAAACCGGCAACCCCGTCGACCGGATCGAGGAGGCAATCGGCGCGGCCGATTGCTTGCTTCAGACGTCCGGTGTGGCCGGGGCCCCCAACAGGAGGCCCTGGTAGCGGTCGTGCGCTCCATAATCGAGGCGGGCAGACTCCTTGTGGCCGAGAGCAGGGCCCACGTTAGGGAGAGAGCCCGCCTCGAGGCGGATCTCGCCAAGGCTCGTGCCCACGCTGGTGCCACACCAGCGCCTTCGGCACCGTTGGCGCTGTCCGCCCCGGAGCCGGAGCCGGAGCCGGGCTTAGTCCGACTCATGGCGGAGATGGAGGAGCGGATTATGAGGCGCATCTCCGCTTTAGAGAGCGCCCGTTGTCGCCCACCTCTGGCTCCGCCAAAGGCGACATATGCGGCCGCTGCCAAGGTGGGCCTAGCAGCCCAGCCAGCAGCTAGGGTGGCTGGGCCGTCATCAGCGCCCCCGCCCCAGAAGGCCGGAAAGGGCAAAGGGAGGGGGAAGGCGGCCCCAACTCAAGCCCCAGTCTCGGCCCCGGCTGACACAGCACAGCGCCCGTTGGAGCGGGGCTGGACGGTGGCCGGGGACAGCAAAAAGAGGCGGAAGGCCGCCAAAAAAGCGGCCAAGAAGGCGAGGAGGGACGCCGCCGCCGCCGCGAAGGGAGCGCCGAGGAAGCTCCGAGCCCCTCGCTCCTCGGCCGTCGTAATCACTTTGACGGCGGAGGCAGCGGAGAGGGGCGTGGGGTACGCCGAGGTCTTGACGAAAGTCAAGGCCAACGTCCAAGGACCTCAAAGCCCTCGAGATTCCGGGCGTCCGGTGTAAAAACACACGGACGGGAGCCCGGCTCCTCGAGGTAGCTGGCGCTACCAGTGGCCCCAAAGCCGATGCCCTAGCGGCTAAGCTGAGGGAGTCACTGGATGCAGCTGACGTCCGAGTGTCCAGGCCCACTAAATGCGCCGAAATCCGCATCACGGGCCTGGACGACTCTGTCACGGCGGACGAGCTCAGACTCGCCGTGGCGGAGACGGGAAGCTGCCCTCTGGACAGCGTGAAGGCCGGAGCAATATGCTTCGGCCCCGGTGGACAGGGGGCAGCGGTTGTCAGCTGCCCCATCGCGGCGGCCCAGAAGGTCGCCGATGGACGGAGCCTCCTGGTCGGAGGTTTCCTGAGGGCGCAGGCACGACTCCTGCAGGCCCGACCGGCAAGGTGCTTCAGGTGCCTGTCGGTGGGTCACGTAGGGGTGCACTGCACGGCGGAGGCCACCGTAGGTGACCGATGCTTCCGCTGTGGTCAGCCCGGTCACAAGGCGGGTGGCTGCAACGCTCCGCTGCGTTGCTTTAGGTGCGCAGCGGGGGGCAAGCCTGCCGACCACCGGGTTGGTGGTAAGGCCTGTGCCCTATCGCGACCGAAGCCGGGAGGCCGACCCTCCGCCTCCGAGCCGCTGATCCAGACGGAGAGTGCCGCTGGACAGCCGCAAAGCTCGCTGCGGGATGCGGGGATGGAAGTCCAGTGATGGATCCACATCTCCGCATCCTCCAGGTGAACGTAGGCCACGGTGCCGATGCTCAGGATCTTCTGCTCCAGAGCATGGCACAGTGGTCCATCAACATCGCCGCTATCGCCGAGCCATATGTCCATCGGTTTCTCGGGCCTGCCTGGGAGACCGACTTGGACGGCACGGCGGCCCTGGTGCACGGTACCGCAGCCGGCACTCCACCTCTTGCAGTAGTTGCAAGGGGACGGGGCTGTGTAGCGGCGATAGTTGGAGATATAGCGGTCGTGGCCGCTTATTTCACGCCGAACCGAAACCTAACTGAGTTCGAGCAATGGCTCGCTCAGCTGGCCGTCGTCGTCGATGCCTGTCGCCTCCACCCGGTTCTTGTGCTGGGGGACTTCAACGCCTGGTCGCAGGCTTGGGGTTCCCTGCGCACGAACCCGAGGGGAAGGGCATTGGAGAACTGGGCTGAAAGATTCGGCCTAGTTCTCCTAAACCGGGGGGCCGTGGCCACGTTCGTGACGGCGAGGGGTAGTTCGATCGTGGACATCTCGTTCGCATGCCCCTCGCTAGCGCGTCGTGTCCAAGGCTGGCGCGTCGTTGTCGGGGAGGAGACAGGTTCGGATCACCGATATATTCGGTTTGACGTCTCCGCCCCTGCAGATGGCGCGCCGGTCAGACCGGCACCACCTGAACCACGTTGGGCGCTCAAGCGCTTAGATCGCGACCTCCTCCTGGAAGCCGCCATCGTACAGGCCTGGGCTCCTGCGCCGGACAGGCCTGTCGACATCGATGCTGAAGCACAGTGGTTCCGGGAGGCCATGACCCGCGTCTGCGATGCGGCGATGCCTAGGGCTCAGCCCAATACTGCAAGGCGCCAGGTCTACTGGTGGTCGCCGGAGATCGCACGGCTGCGTCAAGCCTGCGTGACCGCGCGCCGCCAGTGGTCCAGGTTCCGCAGGAGGCGTCGCCGCCCCGAAGATGCGGCAGCGAGAGAGGCGGAGCTGTTAGCGGGTTACAGGGTTGCCAAGAGGACCCTTCAGGCAGCGATAAAGCGGGCCAAGAGCGAGGCCCGCCGCGAGATGCTGGAGACACTGGAGCGGGATCCGTGGGGACGCCCCTACCGTATGGTTAGGGGCAAGATGCGCCCATGGGCCCCGCCGCTCACACGGTGTCTTCAGCCAGAGCTGCTTGAGAGGGTCGTTGGCTCCCTGTTCCCAACGCGAGTGGTGGAGCATACTCCGCCACAGATGGCTCCGCCTCCGGCGCTTGAGGCGCCTAACGTGGATGACGACGACGTGCCTGAGGTCACTGGGGTGGAACTAAGGGTGGCGGTGTTACGGCTTAAAGCCAAAAACACCGCCCCGGGACCCGATGGCATTCCTGGCCGAGCGTGGGTCCTGGCCTTAGTCGACGAGGCTCTCGAGCCCCGACTGCGAGGGTTCTTCAGCGCATGCCTCGAGCGGGGCCAGTTTCCGAAATTGTGGAGGACGGGGAAACTGGTCCTCATCCGAAAGGAGGGGCGCCCGGCGGACTCACCGTCCGCCTACCGGCCCATAGTGTTGCTTGACGAGGTGTGCAAGCTCTTTGAAAGAGTGATTGCAAGGCGCCTTGTCAAGCATCTCGTGATGGTTGGGCCGGATCTGGCGGACAACCAGTACGGTTTCCGTCAGGGGCGCTCCACCGTGGATGCGATCATGCGCGTGAAGGCTCTGGCGGAGGAAGCAGTCTCTCGGGGCGAAGTGGTGTTGGCGGTGTCCTTGGACATCGCCAACGCATTCAACACTATGCCCTGGAGCTGCATCAGGGAGGCGCTCGTGTATCACGAAGTGCCTCTCTACCTCCGCCGCATAGTCGGGGCATATTTGTCGGAGAGAGCCGTCGTCTACCCCAGTAGGACCGGTCTCGGTAGGCGTGAAATGTCGTGCGGTGTTCCGCAGGGGTCGGTGTTAGGGCCACTCTTGTGGAACATCGGCTACGACTGGGTGCTTCGTGGTGCCTTCTTGGATGGTGTCGCCGTCGTGTGCTACGCGGACGACACACTCGTGACGGCGCGCGGCAAGACGCACCACGAGGCAACCCTGAGGGCCACGGCCGGGGTTGCCCAAGTCGTTGAGCGTATCCGGCGGCTGGGTCTCGAGGTGGCTCTGCACAAGTCCGAGGCCCTGTTCTTCCACGGGCTTCGGAGGAAGCCGCCTGAGGGATCTAGCCTCACGGTAGGAGGCACTCGCATCGGCATCGAGCCCTCGATCAGGTATCTGGGGCTCGTACTCGATGGCCGATGGGACTTCGGATATCATTTCCGAGGTCTGGTCCCTAAGTTGGTTGGGGCAGCGCGTGCGTTGGCGCGGCTGCTGCCCAACATGAAGGGACCCAATGACTCCTGCAGGAGACTCTACTCGGGGGTTGTGCGGTCCATGGCCCTTTACGGGTGCCCGGTATGGGCGGGGGCCCTGAAGGCCAGCAACGTCGCGATACTGCGACGACCGCAGCGAATGCTGGCCATCAGGATCATAATGGGGTACCGCACGATCTCCTTTGAGGCAGCGAGTCTCCTGGCCGGAACTCCACCGTGGGACCTGGAGGCGAGAGCCCTTGCGGCACTGTATCAGTGGCGCAAGGAGGCGCAGGAGTTGGGTCGATGCCCCGAGACTCGAGAAATCGAGGACCGGAAATCCCAACTCCGCCAGGTCATCATAGGGGAGTGGAGGGAACGACTCGGGCAACCGAGCGCCGGGCACGCCGTCATTGCGGCGGTAAGACCCGTTATGGAGGATTGGCTCGAGAGGCGTCACGGGACCCTCTCATACCGATTGACGCAGGTGATCACTGGGAAGGGATGTTTCGGAGATCACCTGTGTCTGATCCGCAAGGAGCCAACGCCTGAGTGCCACCACTGCGATGGCCAGACCGTGGACACGGCTCTCCACACGCTGGCAGAGTGCCCGGCGTGGGTTGAGCAGAGGCGAGACCTCGTGGCGGCCATCGGAGTGGGAGTTCTCTCGCTCGATAGCCTGATTGCGGCTATCGTGCGGAGCGAGAGTGCGTGGAACTCTGCCGTCTCCTTCTGCGAGCAAGTTATGCTCGCGAAGGAGACGGCGGAGCGGGACCGGGAGAGGTTTAGAACTCTCCCGGCCCGCCAGGCCCGGGCACGGGCCAGGCAGCGCAGGCGACTCAGGCGCCGGAGGTCGCAGAACGACCTCCGTCCTCCATAAGCGCAGGCCTGGGGGTGACAGGTGAGGCCATCTGTCACCCTAGCAGAAGCAGGCCGGGGTGGCGGCGAGCGCGTTGCGAAGCGCGCTCGCTTCCAGGGAGCACAGGGAACATGGGGTTCCCACACGGGGCGGGGGTCGTCTACTCGTCTGTAGATGACCCGAGGTATGTCGGGGCACCAGGGCCTTCCTTTCTAGGGTATACCTGGTTCCCCGGCTATTAGTACCCGGCGAAGGCGTGCGGTTTTAGTCGGTTCGTGTCCGACATGCCACCGACAGGTGGTATCCGAGGGGATTTCCGCACGGAAAAAAAAAAAAAAAAAAAAAAAAAAAAATCAATTTGAATAATACTATGATGTTTGTGTTGGGATATAACAACGTTGACAACAAACTGAGAGAAATAATTGCGTGCATTAAAACACGGGCACCGCTTGGAGAAACAGCGTTACACTCAGTGCGCAATGTATGCAAATCGAACGATTTATGCTGCCGCCGATGTATGTGTAATGTCGTTTGAATACGAACACACTTGGAAGCGGGTTGGCCTCACACCGTACTGTCGTTTGCTCTAACAAAGATTACTTGTCAAGTCGATACGTCATTAATCCTGTAGGATTAAGATGCTTATAAAGTTAAGAAATAAGTGTAGTACACGTAGGCTGAGAGAGTATCAGTCGGTGTATTTTTGCTGTTTCTATAATGGTACAAATACTATGTACAATTTTGTAAGTTTTGGAGGAGGCAGTATGTGTGTACACATGTGTGTACTCATACTGCCTCCTCCAAAACTTACAAAATTGTATCCTGTAGAATTTTTGAGTTGCAGGTGTCCATGGGCGGCGGTAGTTGCTTACTATCAGTTGACCCGTCTGCTCGTTTGCCCCCTTATACCATAAAAAAAGTACTTAGAAGGTTAAAAAGTTACTTTTTGTACTACTTGGGCGACTCTAAGTCTATCTTCCTCACATTTATTTGTGCAAGAATAAAATAATATTCAAGGAAAGGCTTTCCGTCGTTCTTCTAATAAAGTCAAATAAGCTTAAAATATTCGTAAGATCCTAGAAGAGTCACGTAACGCTTCGGTGTAAATGTGAGCGCATCAAGTGTATTCAGTGAACTAATTACGTCGACTGCTCGGTTTGTCAATCATGCACTGCGCCCCACCAGCCACACTCGTACTAATTATTTAACTTCCTTGCTACCACTTGTTATCCCGTGCTATTACTTGATTGCTCTCTTTTCGGAACATTGTTGTAAACGAATTTGGCTTAAGGCTGTTTATAACTTTTACTTATAGATACAGTGATTAAAGCTCCTCCTTTCAAAGGACAGGCCTATGTCCAGCTGTGGACTGTTATAGGCTGTTGATGATGAGGATGATGATGATACAATTTTTTATTCTGACTGCTAGTGCAACCTTGTTTAATGCAATTTAACTAAATAACTTTTATTCTTCTATCGATTGAAGCATTTCTTATGAAAAATCCAAAAAATATATAAACCAATTAATCCAAAGTTAATCAATTGGTCGTCCCCACTGCTCCTTCACGACAAGGCGC